ATCACTGGACTGGACAATTTCTAGTTTCTCTTCTAGATTCATTATGTTTCTGGTTCTCTAATGCAAGTGGCTTTTGTTGACTGCTTCTTCGTATTATTTCTAGTTGATTCTTTCCTTAACAACATCATCAGAAGGCTATTTGGCCAGAGGTTTTCCATTCACAAGAGACTCTTGAAAAAACTCTTGGTTACAAATAATATTGTCCTATTTTATGTACACATACAAGCCTAAAGGCAACTATCCTAGTTCTGCAGTTACCACAGAGAAAAGTCAATACATGTTAATAATTCAACAGCTAAAGGAATGGTTTTCAAGGAAACAAGTCAGCAAATTTTGACCGGTTACAAACAACTAGTCAATTGATCTGGGCCAGAACGTCAGATATCCAGATATGTCTTCAAATAAAATGCTCTTGGAATGCATACTGGAGCAATAAAGCCGTTGCCAACAAAAGTAGGAGGAGCCCATTGACATTTCATCATTAAAATCTGATCACCTGCCGGGACCGGTTTGGCTCAATGGATAGAGCGTCGGCTTGGGGACTGAAGGGTCCAGAGTTTGATTCCGGTCAAGGGCATGTACCTTGGTTGCGGGCATATCCCCAGCAGGGAGTGTGCAAGAGGCAGCTGATCGATGACTCTCTCTCATCGATGTTTCTAACTCTCTATCTCTCTCCCTTCCTCTCTGTATAAAATCAATAAAATATATTTAAAAAAAAATCTGATCACCTGATCAATCTTGCTTTAAAACTCTTTTAAGGAAAAGAATTAGTCAAAGGTATAATACAAGATATGATCGTAGGGAATCCAAAGAGATGGCAAAACCAGAAATACTGTTCCTTACTAAGCCTTTGGGAAAACAGTTTGACAGTTCCTTAAAAGGTTAAACAGAGTCTATATGACTCAGCAATTCCACTCCTATGTGTGTATGTGTGTGTGTATATATATAAATATATATATACACACACACACAAGAGAGATGAAATCATAGTTCCACACAAAAATTTGTACACAAACGTTCATAGCAGTATTATTTATTATAGCCAAAAGTGGAGACAACCCAAATATCCATCAACTAATGAACAGGTAAACAAAATTTATTACATCCTTACAATGGAATACTGTTTGCCTATAAAAAGAAATGAAGTATTAATACTTGTTACAACATGAATGATCCTTGAAAACATTATGCTGAGTGAAAGAAGCCAGTCACAAAAGGTCACATGTTGTATGATTCCATTCATGTGAAATGTCTAGTACAGGCAAATCTATGAGACAAAAATAGACTGGTGGTTGCCTGGTGCTGGGTGGGTTGGGGTGAAATGGAGGTGACTTCCAATGGGTACGGGGTTTCCTTATGGAGTGACAAAAATGGTCTAAAATTGATTTGTGGTGATGGTTGTACAATTCTCTGAATATGCAAAAAGCCATTGGATTGCACACTTTAAGTGGATAACTTGTATGGTCTGTAAATTACATCTCAAAAAAGTTGTTATAAATTTTTAAAAAGCTATATCAATTTTGTTAAAATACAAAAGCAAACACAAGAGCCTTCAGCCTGTGGTGCAGCAGCATTAGCCTGGAGAGCAGAAGTTGCACTTCCTTAATGGGTCTGTTTTCCCAGGGCAGTAATACAATTGTGGTGTGTGTGTGTGTGTGTGTGTGTGTGTGTGTGTGTGTGTATCAACCCCAACCCACTGCTTCAAAACTGTTAGACTGCCAGAACAATCTAGCAAATTATGTTATAACATGCCATGAACCTTGGTTTCTAACTGTCATTGGTCACTTAAACTTATTTTCACCCTGAGGATTCACAAGTCATTTTAAAAGCAAACCTACCTCTGTAACTTGGGGAGAGATCAATGATCGAAATGTGCTAATACAATGGCTATATCTTGAGTTGATCATGAACTGAGCCCCCTTTCTGGCCTTTACCCATTACAAATTCTAAGCCCTTAGGTCTGTCCATTTCTAGACTTTGCCCATCCCAGTGAAAGGCAGCAGTCTTGTATTTGTGGAGTCTCTGGTCTAAACAAGCTTCCACTGTGTCTCTGTTTTCTGCCTCTGCGTATGGCTTTATACCAAAAGTTCTTTGTGGTAACCCCCTCTATCTTGATTGTAAAAATAAGAAGCAAGTTACCTTACTGTTTGACCCAGATAGTCTGAGCAAGACTTTTAATCTCTTTCTTGAAAGAGAGAAAGCAAAGAGCTAAAAAAAGAAAAAAAAGAAAAAAAGAAAAAGAAAAAAAAAGTTATGGCTGTTCTAATAGTAATTTCATGAAATACCTTTAAAATATGGCATCTTCCTTTAAAATATGGCATCTTAGAAATGAGTAGTAGCCCACTGGGAGGATCATTCTAAGTTTTATAATGTCCTTTGCCTATAAGAAATCAGATATTCCATTGTTTAAATTAAGAATCATATCCCTAGCCAGTCTAGCTCAGTGGATAGAGGATCAATTAGCGAACTGAAGGGTTACAGGTTTGATTCCAGTCAAGGGTACATACCTCGGTTCAGGCTTGATTCCAGCCCCCATTGGGGCACGTGCAGGAGGCACCCAATCGTTGTGTCACTCTCACATCAATGTTTCTCTCTGTCTTTCCTCCTCCCTTCCACTCTCTCTAAAAATCAATGGGAAAAATATCCTCTGGGTGGGGATTAACAAAAAGAAAAAAAAGAGTCATATCTGGTATCTGAAAGTTTCACACAGCTGCCAGTTTTACTGATATCGGTAGGGTATGGGGGTGAGGCAGGTGGAGAGTGGAGCATGGGCTCTAAACTGCCTGGCTTTTAAACTGGGCAAGACACACAACCCCTCTGTGTCTATTCGGATATAATATGAGGGTAAATCATAGCACCCACCTCACAGAGATGTCTGGAGAATTAAGTGACTTAATTGTATAAATAAATAAAATGCAGAGGACAGAGTCTGGCAGATAGTAAGTATGCAATAAATGCAATAAATTTTATCTGCTATCATGATCTTTCCCCCTTCACCAACTGTTGGGGAAAGAGGCACCATTTACTTTCTGCCAGAATCCCATTGCAAGGAACCTGGACTTGGTCCCTGAGAGCAAATAAATCATCAAGGATGAGGTCTCTGCCTGAGCAGTGGGGTTCAGTTCAGACATAACAAGACCGTTTCACTTCTCCCTGGGTGAGACCATTAGAGTCTCTTAGGGGCGTGGTTCCTCCTAAAAAAACAAACAAACAAACAAATCCAGGAGGGGAACTCAAGTTCCCTAAATAAATCCATTTCCAAGTTCTGAGGTGACTGAGCAGGTCTCAGCTGCGGGAGAGAACTCCTTCCGTAGAGAAACTTGCAATAGCTTCCTTGAGTACTCCTTGGTGCCATGACCTGTCCTGTTCAGACTTTCTTTAACTGTAACCCCAAACCTCGCTGACACAGGGCCATGCATTCCAGAGTCCACCCAGTCTTGCTCTCCTGCTACCACTTACACTCCCTGACTGTTTGGTTTGGTAATGACCCTGCCTCAAGTGGTGGTTTGACCCGTAGAGCAGCTCATGCTGACCTGTGGTCTGGAAAGGAATGTCCAGTCTTAGCCAATGACATATTGTGCCTATGACATAGTTGTGCTCAACTCTACCTGTGGCCTATGGACACTTCATAAGTCTCCCTAACTCTCCTCGGGCTCCTGGCCAACTCAAGAGAAAGCACTTATTATTATTTTTTTTAATCCAAAGGGAAAACATAGGTACACAGAAACGAAATTATTTATTTAGGGAAATAGAGAAAGAGCTAGAAATTTCACTGAGCCAGGATTTAGAACCTTCAGATCCCATTGCATCTAAAACGGAGTAACCAACAAGACTTCATTCTTAAATAAAATGTTGTTTTTAATAAAATACTGCACACATTTGCTTTTCTTTTCAAAGATGTTATGACCAGGAAGGTTGGTGTGAATGATAACACACGGCGAACTACATAATTAGTAGCAAAAACAAGGACTCTCAAATAAATAGACTTCAGCATTTTTTCTAGGACATAGTGTGCAAACCAGCTGACACTGAGGACAGGCAAGGAGACTTTCCCTCCGAGGATGTGCCCTGGGTTGGCGTGGGATAGAGAAAGGAGTCATGGGTACCCTCAGAAATCCAAAGTAACATTGGAGTGACCTTCTGGAGAGGGGAATCCTTGCCTCTCCTTACCTTTTCGCCCAAGATTTCAGAGCTTAGCTGGAACAGAGAAAAAAGCACCACCACAGAGTCACCTGTAGGCATCCGAGGATCCAGCAGGGCGGGTGTGGAGCCAGTGGAAAATTCTGGGGAAAGCAGAGCTGGGCTAGTAAAGGAGGGAGATCTAGGGTGACAGAGGAGGAGCTTGACTATGCCTGAATGCCCTGACTTAGTACAAATCTAGGTCACGGCAGCCACTCAGAAATCCTGGTAAATACAATGACCACAGATACATAACAGAAAAAATACAAGATGCAGAATTACCCCACTAACCACCTGTTCATTACACCTCAGGTCGGTCCCCCATTATTGAGAGCCCCTCACCTAAAGGTTTAAGTACAATCAAAGCCATGTAGGTATTGCTTGACATAATTTGCATGATATTGAAGAGGCTAAAAAAAAATCCTCCTTAATCCATCCTTCCTTTCCTATCAAATCCGCTTCTCTTTTCTCCTTTTCTGGATAAGAATGAGCATGGGGAGAGCCTTCTCAGGTGGGATTCCCAGCTTGGGACCCTGAGCTGTCCCCTCCCTGGAAGTCTGACTTTTGTGTAACTGACGGAAGAATAAGCCTTCAGGGGAAAACCCATACCCGGCTTCTGACAGACACGGTTTTCTCAAATACCCTTATTAGGTTTTCAGAAAACACCCCCCAATACAATTAGAATTGCATAGGAGGAAAGGGGTCACTCAAGCTGACTCAGGCACTTCTGGCCTCAACATGGGCTGGCGGGAGACGCCAGTTGCCCTCACTCCTCGGCACAGTCATGGACGTTAAATACTGTCCAGAAGTTTCCACGTTCCTTACAAAGACTTCTTGTCTGTCTGGCCCAGGATCCGGGCCAGGCAGTAGGGGATGAGGCTGGCCGAGGCCAGGGGCACTGCTGCGCTTTTGCAGAAGGACAGGACGTAAAAGACCATCTCGACTCGGGATGGGGGTTTCAGAGAGTCGAAGAGGTGCAGGAGGACGAGGGAGGCCGCGATGCAGCCGAGGCGGAACGGGAGCCGCTGGCCGAGCTGTCCCTTGCAGCTCTCCCTGTACAGGCCGGAGTTGAGAGCCAGCCCGAGGCCAAAGAGGGTGCCCAGGTTCTTCAGGAGGCTGGCGAAGGGCGTGGTGTCAATGTGGACCCATTCTGGCCGCGCGCACCACCTCTTGGCTTTCTCCAGAGTCCACAGGAGGTCCACACCCAGCCCCTTCAGCAGCAGGTAAAATCCAATGGCGAAGCTGAACAGGAAGAAGGTGATGAGGAAGTATTTCTTGAGACTGGCGTTGTAGATGCCCTGGATGTGGCGGAAAGTTTCAGCAACGGCGATGCCTGAGCGGGAGAAAGAGTGACGGTGAGAAATAGGAAAGGCTCTGGACCTTCGGCTAGAGACAGGTTGGGAACCAATGGGTGACGTATCATCTGTCGCCCATTAAATCACAGATGCTAGATTAGAGGGTCACCTGGTTTATTCCCATAGGTGCCCCCAGCCTTTCCCCACCCATAGACTCTCTCCGAGGGAAGAGTCGTGGTCCATACATCCTCCTGCTGCCTGCTTGTTCCCTGAGGGGGGTCCTCGTGTCTCTAATTGAACAGCCTGACGGTGAGGAGTTCACTCCCACTGGGGCAGCCCACTTCCTCTTGGAATGGATTTGATTATTACAACATTCTTGCTTTTGCTGAGCTGAATGAAGCCTGTCTGTCTCTACTGCCAACGATTGGTCTCAGTTCTTCCTGCAGGAGTTAAGTGACAAATCCCGAGCCTTTTTAACACATTTGAGGACAGTTATTCTGTCTAATCTACACATTCCCAGGTCTTTCATGTAACTCGGCTTCCAGGCTCCTTCTCAAACATGGAACCCAGTACTGAATGTTGTGTTATTTTGTATTATAGTTGCCATGAACTCATTCTATCTCTTGCTCGCAGCACTGTTTTCTGCTTTTACAGATCTCCAGGGGAAAATTCACAATTTCCCTAATGAAATTTGTGCACGGGTGGGGTCCCTAGGCCTGGCCAGCGATCAGAGCCGATCTGTGGGATGACCAGTGGGGCAATCAGCCCCTCCCCTGGCACCCGCTTTGGCCACCCTGGTGCTGCCCACTCATCAACTCTGCTCCCTGCTGCTGCTGCCACCGGTCACCTCCTGCAGAGGGAGGCAACTGGCAGTGAGATGGAGTGGGCACTTTGCTGGCATCCACCTTGGCTGGCTTGGAGCCTATGAGATGGGGGCAGCTCCTGATTTGAGTATCTGCCCCATGGTGGTCAGTGTACATCATAGCAACAGTTCATTCTGCTGGTCGGTCAATTAGCATATTAGGCTTTTATTATATAGAAGGCCTACCGCAAAGTCAAATTCTTTCTGTACTTAGCCTAGATCTTTTCTCAACCTCATTAGTTGGATATAAAAAAACACACAAATATTGAAAACTCTAAACCTATAAAAATGACCAAGTATGAGTCATATTAGGTCAATAAAATATATATATTAAAAAAAAGAAATTAATCACCTTAAATGATCCACCCTTGACTTTTAGCCCACTAAAATGCTAACAGCATTGATAAGCACAGAATATGGCTAGCATGCTGGGATTTTGTCCTGATTAGGGAGAAATGGGATACGTGGGAGAGGAAGGGAGGGATCCAGAGCAGCTGATACCTGACAACACTCCAGCCACCACCTGGTGGGGAAAATGAGCAGCAAGGTAGATTCGTGACAGACAGACGTTCAGCTGCACGGCCCAGAATCCCAACCACAGAGCGATGTTCAAACACCTGCAACGGAAGAGGCAACCATGACAGAACCCAGATACACGTCCTTCAGCGGAGAGAACAGCTTCTACAGGAGTGTTGAAGCGTGGCAAACTCGGGTTTGCCAGTGGAATACTTGTAAGTTAATGCCTGAACTCACAAGCTCAGAGATGCCTGTGGCACGCGGTGAACTCTTGTGTATGAGAATGTATTTGCACCGTGGCTACACACCCAGAATTTCCTATAGTAGGAATGGCTTACATTTCTCAGTTTGTTTTAACGTAGATGGGTAGACGCTATGGTTGGTACAGAAATGGGTCTTTGTTGAAATCCTGCCACTACTGAACTTTCTGATCTCAAGAAGCCCCTTTTCCATGTTTCCTTATCTGTACAATGAGGGTGTGCATGTGTGGGTCTCTTCCAGCCCTGACGTTCTGTGACTCTAATCTTCACACTCAGCAGACAGGCTGCAACTCTTATCAGTACCAACCCAAAGTATGAGATGGGCTAGGGGGATGCGAGGAAGAGCAAGTGGTGTGTCAGCTACAGAGAAAGCCACCTCCTGCTCTCCACCACCCACACCCCAGGGCTGAGTTCTTACCTAAATCTGAAGGTGGGCTTTTTCTTTCCCCGAAAGATAGAGAGGGTGGATGTGACCATCACATAGTATACACCTGCTGTGCCCATGGCATGGCCGGAGGGACTCCCTAAAGGACGGGAAAGAGATGAATGAATGTACTACAGGTGAAAGTCTCCATCCCAGAGACTGCTGGGAGGGTCATCTATCCACCCATCTTTCCATTCATCCACCCATCATACCACCCATTCATTTATCTATTTAGTCACCTATTTAACAAGTCTCTACTGAGCTTCTATTGTAGGCCCAGTATAGTGGTGAACAGAACCAGAGAAGGCCCAGTTCTTGTACTTACATACAGTCTAGAGATTACACAAAGGATCAGAGTATTGGATATATAATTAGAAACTAATTGGCCCTCCATAACCTCTCTTCTATTCTTTTAAAAATATATTTTATTGATTTTTACAGAGAGGAAGGGAGAGGGATAGAGTTAGAAACATCGATGAGAGAGAATTATCGATCAGCTACCTCTTGCCTACTGGGGGTGTGCCTGCAACCAAAGTACATGCCCTTGACTGGAATCGAACCTGGGACCTTTCAGTCTAAGGCCCACACTCTATCTACTGAGCCAAACCGGTTTCAGCCTCTCTTCTATTCTTGCGCTCTCTGCCCTGCGCATGCTGGCCTCATTGCTTTCCTGTAAACATGCTCCCCCTTCAGGGTGGTGGCATTGTTAGTCTTTCTGGTCACACAACTCTTCCTCCAGAAATTTTCTGGCTAATTCCCTTGCCTCCTTCAAGTTTTTGCTCAGATCTCAACTTCTCAATGAGTATTACCTTGATCACACTATTTAATTCTTGACCACACGGTTCCTATTCCTGATTCCTCTACCCTGAGACATAGAGGGTCCTGAGATATGCCAGCCTCCACCCAGATCCCCTTCTGGACAGAAGGTCTTATTTTTCCAGCTGTTGAAAGTGTGCTCACAGATGGGCCTTAGCTCTCAGCCTTCTCTGGCTGAGAGAGCCATTTTGACCAGGATTACCCTCTTCCTGGGGCTGGCCTGTACCCAGTCACTGGTCTCCACGGGAGTATAAGGGCCTGTTCCTCTTGACACAGTTCAGGCAACTCTTAAGGGCCGTCCTCAGCTTCAGAGCTCCCTGTGGAGTTGGCTGAGGCTGAATTACAAATGGACCTCTCCTGCTGCCCTGTTGGCTTTAGTCTTCCTTCCATCAATGCTGCTCCTGAGAGTAATGAAACTCCTGTATGCTGATCTCCATCTGAGTCTGCTCTCCAGGGAACCCCATAGGCAAAGCCTTGTCTTTAAAAAAAAAAAAAATTTTTTTTTTATTGATTTCAGAGAGGAAGGAAAAAGGAGAGAGAAAGAGAGAGAGAGGGAGAGAAAGAGGCATCATTGATGAGAGAGAATCATTGACCAGTTGCCCCTTGAACCCCACCCCAACTGGGGATTAAACCCGAAACCTGGGCATGTGCCCTTGGCTAGAATCGAACCAGGGATCCTTTAGTTTGTAGGCTGATACTCTATCCACTGAGCCAAACAAGGTAGGGTGCCTTGTTTTTTCTGTTCTCCTCCTCCTCCCTCTTCTAAATTATCATCTTCTAATATTCTATATAATTTACTTGTGTGTTACACACCCACACGCGCGCGCGCGCACGCGTGCGCGCGCACACACACACACACACACACACACACACACCATTCAAATAGCTCCACGAGAGCAGAGATCTTTTTTTTTTTTTTTTAATCACTGAGGTATTCCAAGTTCCTAGAACAGTATCTGGCACAGAGTAGGTGCTCAATAAATCACACCTGAATGAATGCACACGGTCTGAAGAGAACAAGGGGTTTGTAAGAATGAATAACTATGGGCCATGCCCTAGTTTGGGGGTCAGGGGTTGGGCCACTGAGGGTGGAATGCCAGCACCCTTCCTAAGGGTAAAGGACACTTACGAGGAGTGAAGGGTTTGCATACTGATTACCTACTAAAAAACAAAAGCTGCCATTTGATTGAGCAATACCAGCATGGCTATAATTAGCAAAACACTGGCAGGTTGTGGGCTTGGTAGGCCAGCTCAGGAGGACACAGCTGCCAGACCAGGCCTCTGGGAAGGACAGCCAGGCACCAGGCCTCTAAAGCTTAACCTTTCCCAGACTAAGGGCCATTGCACACGTACTCCCTTGAGCCCATTGCCCGTGAGGGTGCTTGCCTCTCTGGATTAGTAATTAAGGTTCTGGAAACATTAGGCAGATTGCTGAAGCAGCCGCAAGATGAGATTCAGGGAGGCCTTCTTGAGAGCAATTAAGATGGGATTGTATCAAATGGAAGACTCAGAGAAAAAGCGGGAAGGAATGGCTCTCCTCGTGTCCCCTCAAAGTCAGCTTCACCCACAACGAATGCTGACAGGTGTCCACATGTGCCGAGGGCGGGGCCCTTACCTGGGCCAGTCTCACAGGTGACAGGGAACTGCTTTATCAGCGGCACGGAGGTATTGCTGTAGTAGTCGGTGTCCAGGACCCACCAGTACGGGCGCTGCCCAAAGAGAATCCTGTGGAGAAGCAGAGCCCGTGTCTGAGGTTGCTGAAGGAACCCTTTTGTCAGAAGCCCACACCTCTGAGAAGAGAGAGCAGCTCGAGAAGAAGATGCATGCGACCCTAAACAGGAAACTGGTGCATGGGCCGCCTCCAAGAAGGTGGACTGGGTGGCTGGGAGGAGGCGGGGGAGGTAGACATGTATGGTACATCCTTTACCTCATGTTTGCATTTTCAACTATTTGAATTTTTTATTTATTAAAATATACATAAATAAACCTGAGATCCAAAAACCCATCTTCACGGCCAGCTAGGTGACTTTTTCTTAAAACCGCCAGACCAATTTGTCCTGGAAGGACGCATCTGGAACTGCAGTTTGCAACTGAGATTTGCGTATCCCACCCGGTCCCTCCGCTCTTTCTTCAGGCCTCAGAATAACTCCCTGTGAGACAGACATGGCTTCGGGTGCTTGCTCTGTGTCCTCTGCTTTGAAAGAGGATATCTCAGACAAACCCCTGCCCTTTTATTTTATTTACTTATTTTTTTCTTAATCCTCACCCGAGAATATGCTCCCTTTAAAGAGAGGAAGAGAGCCAAAGCCGGTTTGGCTCAGTGGTAGAGCGTCGGTCTGCGGACTGAAAGGTCTCAGGTTCCATTCTGGTCAAGGGCATGTACACTGGTAGCGGGCACATCCCCGGGAGGGGGTGTGCAGGAGGCAGCTGGTCAATGTTTCTCTCTCATCGACGTTTCTGGCTCTCTATCCCTCTCCCTTCCTCTCTGTAAAAAATCAATAAAATATATATATTTTTTTTAAAAAAAGGGAGAGAGAGAGAAAGAGGGAGTGGAAGGGGAAGAAACATCGCTGTGAGAGAGAAATATCCACCCCTTGTCTCCCTTATGCACCGGACTGGGATCCAACCTGCGACCCTTCGGTGCATGGGATGATGCTTCAACCAATTGTTGGCCAGGGCCAAGCCACTTCCCTTTTAAAAGGTCTAGATCTTTTTTTAATTTATTTATTGATTGATTGATTATGGTATCATATAATTATATCCCCCTATTCTCATCCCAAACCCCTCTCCACGTATGCCCCCACCTCCTTGTTGTCCATGACCACTGGTTAGGCTCATATGCACGAAAGGCCTACCTCCTTTATTGTGGAAACAGGCATCAGAGGCCCTCTGGAGGCCTCCTTTTCCCTGTGCTGGTGGATAGTGATTGCTCACCCAAATCAGGGACAGCCACTAAACCCTCCCCTCTACCAACTCTGAGGAAAGCTATCCCTCTTTAATTGCGATCAGATGTTTGCAATAACCACTTCTATTTTTATTGCTTAGGGCGGTGGTCGGCAAACTCATTAGTCAACAGAGCCAAATATCAACAGTACAACGATTGCCATTTCTTTTGAGAGCCAAATTTAAACTTGAACTCCTTCTAATGCCGCTTCTTCAAAATAGACTCGCCCAGGCCGTGGTATTTTGTGGAAGAGCCACACTCAAGGAGCCAAAGAGCCGCATGTGGCTAGCAAGCCGCAGTTTGCCGGCCACGGGCTTAGGGTCATGCTCTTTTATAGGGGATGTTACAGATAAAACTTAGATTTTTCAATAGAAATTTCACAATCCCTTGGGCTTCTGAGCCCAATAATCTTTTTTTTTTTTTCCTATTCTAAAGGACTTTTACTGTTTATGACCAGAGACTATTAGAGCTGAAAGAGATGTAAGAATCGTCTGATAGTAGTCATAGATAGCTTTAGAGATGGTAAAGAGCTTAGACTCTAAGCCTTAGAGAGAAGCTGGTCCCATTCTTCATTTTCTAGATGACAAAAGAGAGGCCAAACCAGTAATATGCTAAAGTCAGCTGATACTGGCTAACAATTATAAAACATTCAGGATTTTTGCAAAGAAAAAGTCTTGAAGTCTTAGTGATTCGAATCCATCAGTAGCTTGCAAGGGGCTATCATGGGAATATACACTGAGTGGCCAGATTATTATGATCTCTGAATGCATAATAATCTGGCCACTCAGTGTATATCCTATATAATAATCCTATATAATAAAAGGCTAATATGCAAATTGTCCCCTCAACCAGGAGTTCGACCAACAGGTAGGCCGGCGAACCACCCATGCCCCCTTCCCCTGACTAGGCTGGCCGGATCCTACCCATGCACGAATTCATGCACCAGGCCTCTAATATATATACATACACACTGAGTGGCCAGATTATTATGCCCTCAGAGATCATAATAATCTGGCCACTCAGTGTATAAACAGTAGAATTTGGCAAATTTAAAATTGGGGTTCTTCCACCTCCCATCCTTCCCTGAAATAGTCAGTTAATCAGCATTGGATATTCCATGGTTAAGAGCCTTGCCCCTGAAGCCAGCCTGCCTGAGTGTCAATCCTGCCTCTGACATTTACTACCCATGTTGGTCTAGGCACCGCCTCTTTATCTATAACGTAGTGACTACCCCCAGAAAAACATTCAGCACATGGCCTGGCACATACTAAATGTTCAATAACTGTTAACTATAATTATTATAAGGTCCCAGAGATAACCCAAGTTTACAGATTATAAAACAAAAACTCAGAGAGTTGCTATGACTTGCCCAGGACACGCAGCTGGTAGGTGGCTGAACAAAGCCTGGATGGAGCCCCGTTCTCTGGATTTCTCCTCATTGCCCCACACGCCAGGTGTTTAAATGACCTATATGCTTCCTTTTTTTCACACATCATTTTTCTTCTTTCATACATCTACTGTTATGTTGCCTATTCTGCTGCAAAGTAGTAAAACTGTGTTTCTTTGCTTATAGCCTACAATCCAGACTTTCCACTAAGTCCAGCTGGCCTTCCGTCCACATGAAATAGCCTTTCCCTGTGTCTTCAACTCACTGACAGGGTTTCCTCCGTCTTCTCTCTTTAGTAGCGGGTGGAGAGTCAGGAAGGGAGAATAGCATGGAGAAGGCAACTTCTGATGGACAGACATTTCCAGAAAGAATGCCAGCCTCTTTCCTTGCTGACCTCCTCTCGGCCTGGCTCTTACTCACCACTTGAAGATGAGGTTGAGCCAGTCTCCAATCACAGCCACCCAGAGGAGCTGGATGCCCACCGCTTCTCGAAGATGGAACCAGATGGGGAAGAGCACATAGAAGGCATTCCTGAGGTCTGCGAGCACAGAGACCAGGATGAACCAATCCTGGGAGTCCTGGTAGTTCACCTGGAGGTAGTGTGTTGACTGGATCCCAAAGTCATGAAGGACGTTCATGCCTTCCTCCATGCTCGCTCCCTGGCCCGTCGGCTGAGCCCTTGCAGACTTGGTGGTGATAACTCTGCTATTAGCCTGCGTCTTGCCCGTTTTATACACCCTGTCACCAGCCTGCAGGTCAACCCAGCCCTGATCTTTGGACTCAAAAACCACTTTTGTCTAAAATCTATTGATCAAAGGTGCATCATCAGTAGGTTGATGCAAACATGTTCAGGGTGATTTACGTAAAATAGAAAACCAGGCACACAAAAACAGCCTGATCGGCCATGTACTCTGCAGGGCCAATGATTAACTTGGGCATGCTGCTCGACAGTGCCAGGGGCTGCCCTCCTGGCTCTGAACCCAGCCAGAGACACGGGACAGAGTCTAAATCACCGTGGTTCTTGCAGAGATGCCTGATTTCCTAAGTCTGCGACTGCACTTATTTGGGAACAAAGAAAAAGTCTTAAGTCCTAGTGATTCAAGTTTTCAGTTATTAATTTAGAAGGTAGTTCATTTTATTGTCCTGGGCAATGCCACCTTACTGGGCCTTTTCTTACCTGCAGTAGGGTCTAGGAAATGCCTCTGGTTTGGGAGCTCAAACCCTCTTCCCATGTGGCTCCCTAGCTCAGGGCCAGAAAAGAGTCCTCTTTGAATGCCTGATTAATTCATTCATTTAATGTCCTTAGAGTGAGGACTTTTGGGGTTTTCCTACATGAGTGTAAGCAATAAAATGAATGTGTGTTCATACAAAAACAATATGATTGATATATAGTTCTAAATAAAATCACCAACCAATTGGTGACTGGGGACTCTGGAAAGGGCTGCTGTAGTTTGATCTTCCATTTGTACTTGGAGATATTTATGTTCACGAGGCAGTCAATCTGTTTTTACTACAGCCCTAGACAAGGAATAAATTAAAGTAACAGATGCCCGGTCGTGAGAAGCAATGCTGCCTTTCTCCCTGGCACAAGCAGAAATTGCCCTGCAGCAACCAAAACCTCACCCTTGGTCAGTTCAAACTCTGAAGGAAGCAGGGGCTGAATCAGGCGGTGAATGGGGGCAATTTTCAAGGAGAAAAGCTGGTGGGAATAAAACTTTAAAATATTCACTTGAATTTCCTGCCAGCAAGCCCATGATCCCTTGTAAGGGGTAGGTTAGGGGCAGGGAAAAGGAACTCGGAGCTAATGAGTTTGTAGCAAAGGTAGACAACATTCCATGTTGGAAACGATTAAAACATCACCCAGGAAGTATGGTCTGGCATCTTCTCCCCAACCTCCATGGGCTCCCACCCACCTCCAGCAGACCCCAGCTGCCCCTGACCACGTTGTCTCTGCTGGTCCAAGCAACTCTCTCCTACCATGCCTGGTCCGGGGAGGTAATGGTGGGCTGTGGGTGGGCTGCAAATAAAGCATACACTTGGCAGTGCTGTGGGGAAGAGTGCTCTGTATTGTCAGGAATGCTAGGCCACAGGTAGTGAGCCCCACTAGAAGAGATAGTCTCTTCCCTTCACCCAGATAAGCCTTCCTCGAAAGTATTGAGCAACTGCTGTTGCGATCCCCGGGGACTGAGGTGAGTTGAGGGCAAATAGGGCAGACCTTCTGACAAAATATTCCAAGGCCACTCACTATCTGGCTCTCCACAGGGCCGCTAGCAGCCAAATCTCTGTGCCAGGCAGAGTTCTCTCAGCATAGGGGGAGGCCAGTGCAGGGCCCTGTCTTCCGGAGGGAACTCAGGGAGAATGCTCGTGTTGATAAGGAGTGGAATGGAGCTGATATCTGCTCACGGGGTAGAGGAGGAGTCCCTCTGGCAGGCAGCCCGCCTGGTTCGGGTACCTCTTGGTCAGAGCCATTGCATATCATCATGAGACTCTTTGCTAGTCTATCTTCCTACCTTCCAGCCCCTTCCTGCTGCCTCCAGCAAATGTTTAGCATGTACAGAAAGAGGTGAGGCCCCCAAAGACGCAGCCTGCTAGGAAGCTGACTGCAGAGAGAGAGGGCGGTGTCCTCCAATGCTCACAGGACGTGTGGATATTTCGAGGTGGATAATGGGGAGGAAGTATTTGAGCTGCTGGAGGTTTCAATGAGAATTTAATCTCTCAAAGAACTCTCTCAAGAAAGGGAATTCTATCATCTCCTCCTAACTCCTGTCATCTTCCCTTTCAAGAAGGTCTCCAGTTTAAATCAGTCAACATTTCCTGAGCAAAGCCCCAGGCTTGGCTCTATAAGAGATTGCAAGTGAGCCCTAGCCGGTGTGGCTTAGTGGATAGACCAAACACTGAAGGGTCCCAGGTTTGATTCTGGTCAAGGGCGTGTACCTTGGTGGCAGGCTCCATCTCCAGCGACGGTCAGGGCTCTGGTGGGAGGCAACCAATCAATGTGTCTCACGTTGATGTTTCTCTTTCTCCCTCCCTCCCTCTCTCTCCCCTTTCTCCCTTTCACTCTCTCTAAAAAAGTCAATGGATAAATATCTTCAGGTGAGGGTTAACAAAAACAAACAAACAAAAAAGAGATTGCAAATTAAAATCTTGGTTGTCCTCTGGGACCTGGACATTCTAGTGGGGCAGGGAAATTAGATGTTGACTCAACTCACTGTGTCAATCGGGGGATCCTTAGATTGAAACTGAACTCATATGTGCAGATATTGGTGAGCTCCCTATTATTTTGTCTGAAGCAGAGATGACTCAAGACTTTTTTTTTAAACAAACAAACAAACAAACAAACAAACAAACAAACATATTTTATTGATTTTAGAGAGAAAGGGAGAGGAAGAGAGAGATAGAAACATCAATGATGAAAGAGAATCATTGATCGGCTGCCTCCTGCATGGCCCCTACTGGGGATCGAGCCCACAACCGAGGCATGTGCCCTTGGCCAGAAGCAAACCTGGGACCCTTCAGTCCACAGGCCCACGCTCTATCCATTGAGCCAAACCAACCAGGGCGACTCAAGACTCATTGATGTCGTCTGGGAAAACGACCAGCTGAGTCTGGGAGGAGACGAGGGTGGAAAGTTCTGTGGGCCCCTCAACGGGAACACGAGTTGGGCGCTCCTCAGGCACTTTCTCCACAAACAGAAGCCCAGAGGCTCAGGGATCTCGGTTTGGGAAGCACACGCAGGAAAGGGGCCAGAAAGAACAGTCTGGTCTGCTGCTAAGTAAGTGCAGCTGGTGCCCGTGTCCTGGCACCGGCTCCTCCTCCGAGCCAGGCTGACTCATTCACTCAGGCCGGTTTATTTGCTACCAGGCAAACAAAGAGGGGACAGAGTCATAATTGGCCACACACCTCATCCCAAAATTGCTTTTATTAGCAGGAAAGCATCCTGACTTTCCCTGCCATCAAATCCTCTCTTCTGGCGGGGGCTCTGGGTTCTGCGGAGTGAGGAGCTGCCTTGTTGCTCAGCTGAGATCACTAGAACGGAGCTTGTCTGCACAGTGTATTGAGGATACAGAACCCGCTGAAACCGCTTTGGCTCAGTGGATAGAGTGTCGGCTTGCAGGCTGAAGGGTCCCGGGTTCAATTCCAGTCAAGGGCAAGCACCTTGGTTGCGGGCAGATCCCCGGTAGGGGGTGTGCAAGAGGCAGCTGATCGATGCTTCTCTCTCATCGATGTTTCTAACTCTCTATCCCTCTCTTTTCTTCTCTGTAAAAAATCAATAAAATATATATATTTTAAAAAGGATACAGAACCCAGCTTCAAGCCAATGCTTTGTTTGAGCATTGGGGAGGGGGGTTTCCTTAAAGTATTACAGCTCAAACTCCAAAATGTACAGTTTTTAAATTTTATTGATTGATTGATTGATTGATTTGTTTATTTATTTATTTTTGGGCTCCTCTCCCCTGCCACTTGATCCCTGGGGAAGGTGGTCAGGGGTAGACAGTAGAAACTGGCTGGATCAACTTGCTGTCACCTTTTCAGTGAGTGACCCTGTCCATTTGTTACAAAACTATGTCGGGGAAAGCAGGTGAAGGGAGAGGCCGATTAATCATTGCTAGCTTGTGAAAATGGCTGACTTATCTCCAGCGTGGTGAGAAAGTTCAGCTCCAGAACCTTGAACTGTGCACTTACCCACCACGTGGGGGGAGCATGCTGTCTGACTCAAGACGCGCTCGCTGCACATTTTGTCCACAGCAAAGCACCAGAGGACATTGGCTTCATTGTAAACAGTTAAGAACTCCCTGCTGACTGCCTTCCTCCTGCCGCCCTGGCGTCTGCTTTCTCCCAACGGTCCATGAATCCCTGGAGCCTTTATTATGGGAAGCGCAGGCTGACCATCCTCTTCCTCTCCTCTGTCATCTTCAACATCACCCTCCACCCAAAGAAGCTGTTGTGACCTCCAGAGACAGCCAACCAGTTCCCTCATGACCAGATGGTGACACTTGTCCAACTGGCAATTAACCCTTTGGCGGTGCCAAACCACCCTGGCAGCTGGGAAACCTTCTTGCGTTAAGTTTGACCCTTCCTGCCAGGAGCTAAGCTTTGTTGATGATGCACCGGAGAGGCAGAGTCATGGGAAGTAAGCCTCTACCATGATGGTTGGGACTGTCTGGGAAAAGCTCAGTTCCCTCCTTCTTCCTTGTCAGTACCCCAGAGGCAGAGAGGATCTGTCTGAGGACAGGTGGGAAGTGTAAGCTAAGAATCTAGTCCCAGCTGAAACCGGTTTGGCTCAGTGGATAGAGCGTCGGTCTGCAGACTGGAAGGTCCCAGGTTCGATTCCGGTCAAGGGCATGTACATTGGTTGCAGGCACATCCCTGGTGGGGGTGTGCAGGAGGCAGCTGGTTGATGTTTCTCTCTCATCAATGTTTCTAGCTCTCTATCCCTCTCCCTTCCTCTCTGTGAAAAATCAATAAAATATATTTAAAGAAAAAATAATCTAGCCGAAACCAGTTTGGCTCAGTGGTAGAGCGTTTGGTCTGCGGACTGAAAGGTCCCAGGTTTGATCCCGGTCAGGGGCATGTACGTTGGTTGCAGGCACATTCCCGGTAGGGGGTGTGCAAGAGGCAGCTAGTCGATGTTTCTCTCTCATCGACGTTT